AGAGAAAATTGTGTATCCTCGTTTTCTTAGTGTTCTCTGTATTAGGTCTGAAGGAGTCACTCGTGGCGAAACGTTTCATTTAATAAACGTCCTGAACTGTACACAAGTGTCTTTCCACATGTGCAATAATATGGTAACTTTGTTGAAACGTTTCGCCTACACGGTAGTCTTCTTCGGTCAACTCTACTGTACATGTCTTACTCGTGAAAGTTAAGACACATGTGCAACATCTGGATATCTTTATTGTAGACGTTTCGCCATCCAGTGGCTTTATCAATACAGATTCTAGGACATAATAGGAAGACAGTAGAACTATATACAAAAGATGAGGTAATCAGTCCCTCGGCCTTGGAGTTAGTGTTCACAGCATCGTTGTGGAGGAGATGCTGTGATTACGATGCTGTGAACACTAAGTCCAAGGCCGAGGGACTGATTACCTCATCTTTTGTATATTAGTTCTACTGTCTTCCTATTATGTCCTAGAATCTGTATTGAAAAAGCCACTGGATGGCGAAACGTCTACAATAAAGATATCCAGATGTGCACATGTGTCTTAACTTCATATTGTCGGGATTGCCTTTTGGGGGGCCCCCCCGGGGGGGAAAAAAAAATTTTTAAAAATTTAAAAAAAAGGGGGTTTAAATTTTCAAAAAAAGGGGGTTTTTCCTTTTTTAAAAAAAAAAAAAAAAAAAGGGAAAAAGGTTTTTTTAAAAGGGGAAAAAAAAAATTTTTAAAAAAAATTTTTTTAAAATTTTTAAAAAGGGGGTTTTTCCCCGGGGATTTTTAAAAAGGAAAAAAATTTTTAAAAAAAAAATTTTTTTGGAAAAATTTTTTTGGGGGAAAAAAAAATTTTGGGGGGAAAAAAAGGTAAAAAAAAAAAAGGGGTTTTTTTTCCCCAAAAATTTGGAAACCTTGGGGGGGGAAATCAGGAAAATTTTTCCCCCTTTTTTTTTTTTTTAAAGGGTTTCCCCCCCCAAATTTTTTTTAAAAAAAAAAAACCCCATAAAGGGTTTTTTCCCAAAAAAAAAATTTTTTTTTTTAAAAAAAAATTTTTTTTTTTAACCTTTTTGAAAATTTTTTTTTTTTTTAAACCCTTTTTGGGGGGGGTTTTTTTTTTCCCCATTCTTATGTTGTGGAAAAAAAAATTTATGTAAAGTTTGGGAAAAAAATTTTTTAAAAACGTATCGCCAAGGGGACTTCTTAAACCAAAAAAAACCAAAAAAAAAAATTTGGGGGTTGGGGGGGGGAGGGGGGGGGGGGGAAAAAAAATTTTTGGGGGAAAAAAAAAAAGGGGGCTTTTTGGGAAAAAAAACCTGTTAATCCGGTTTTTTTTTTGGGGTTTTTTTTTTTAATTTTAAAATCTAAAAAAATTTTTAAAAAGGGAAAAAAAAAAAAAAAACAAAATTTTTTTTTTCCCCCCCCCTTGGGAAAATTTGGGAAAAAAAAACCCCCTTTTAAAAACCCCCCAAAACCCCCCCGGGGCCCCCTGGGTTTTTTGGGGTTTTTCCTTTGGGGGGGGTTTTTTCCCCCCAAAAAACCTTTTTTTAAAAAAAAAACCTTTTTTTTTTACAATTTTTGGGGGAAAAAAAAAATTTTAAAAAAGTTTTAAAAGGTTTTTTTTTTTTAAAACCCTTTTCCCCCCTTTTTTTAATAAATTTAAACCAAAAAGGGGAAAAAAAATTAAAAAATTTTAAAAAAAATTCCCCCTTTTTAGGCCCCCAAAAAAAAAAAGGGGGGGGGGGGTTGGGCCGGGGGGAAAAACCCAAAAAAAAAAAAAAAGGGGGGGCCCAAAAAAGGCCTTTTTAGTTAAATTTTAAAAAAAAAAAAGGGGGGCCCTTTTTAAAAAAAATTTTTTGGGGGTTTTTAAAAATTTTTTTAAAAAAAAAAAGGGAAAAAAACCCCCCCCCCCCCAAAAAACCCCCCCCCCCCTTTTTGTTTAAAGGGTTGGAAATTTTCCCCTTTAAAAAAGGGTTTTCCCCAAAAATTTTTTTCCCCCGGGGGGAAAAATTTTTCCCAAAAAAAACCCCCCCCCCCCCAAAAAAACCCCCCCAAAATTTTTTAATTAAGGGGGATTTTTTTTTTTCCCCTTTTTTTTCCGGGAAGGGCCCCGGGGGTTTTCCCCAAAAAAAAACCCCTTCCTTTTTTTAAAAAGGAAAAAAAAATTAAAAAAAAAAAACCCAAAAATTTTTTAAAAACCCTTTTGGGGGGTTTTTTTAAAAAAAAAAAGGGGAAAAAAAAGGGGAAAAAAAAAAAATGGGAAAAAAAAAAGGGGGAAAAAAAAGGGGGGTAAATTTCCCCAAAAGGGGAAAAATTGGGGCCCCCGGGCCCCCCAAAAAAAAGGAGGGAAAAAAATACATCCGGAATGGTATAAACCTTGGTAATAAATACCGACAAGTTCGTTTAGAAAAACACGTAAGCAAACACTATGACATTTATTAGGAAACGTTTCGGTCCTGGGACCTTGATCACATCTGGAGATAAATAGTATAAACTGAAAATTTATGGTGATACCGACAAGATGTGGGAAGAGACACTTATGTGTAGTTCAGGACATTTACTATAGAAAGAAGCCACTCGTGGCGAAAAGTTTTCTTTACTAAATGTACTTGTTAAAAATGGTATAAAATACCGACAAGTTGAAGATTAAGACTGGATTATGTAGTTCCAGACCATGGAGCTGGACACTTCTCCAGGCTGAGGGACTCACCACCTTGTTCCAGACCATGGAGCTGGACACTTCTCCAGGCTGAGGGACTCACCACCTTGTTCCAGACCATGGAGCTGGACACTTCTCCAGGCTGAGGGACTCACCACCTTGTTCCAGACCATGGAGCTGGACACTTCTCCAGGCTGAGGGACTCACCACCTTGTTCCAGACCATGGAGCTGGACACTTCTCCAGGCTGAGGGACTCACCACCTTGTTCCAGACCATGGAGCTGGACACTTCTCCAGGCTGAGGGACTCACCACCTCAAATATTTTTTCGCCAAGGTTGATGGGCTGATTATATGATCTTTATTTCATTACTACTACTCCCTCTGTATTTGACTGAAGAAGTCTACTGTGTAGGCGAAACGTTTCAATAGTAAAGATACCCAACTGTAGCACATGTAGAGGTAGATCATGGTAATGAATATGATAGTGAATATGATATTGTGTACATGGACTTCAGTAAGGCCTTTGACAGGGTCCCACATCAGAGACTATTGAGGAAAATTAAGGCACATGGAATAGGAGGAGAAATTTTTTCCTGGATAAAGGCATGGTTGACAAATAGGCAGCAGAGAGTTTGCATAAATGGGGAGAAATCAGAGTGGGGAAGCGTCACGAGCGGTGTTCCACAGGGGTCAGTGTTGGGCCCCCTGCTGTTCACAATCTACATAAACGACATAGATGAGGGCATAAAGAGCGACATCAGCAAGTTTGCCGATGACACCAAAATAGGCCGTCGAATTCATTCTGACGAGGACATTAGAGCACTCCAGGAAGATTTGAATAGACTGATGCAGTGGTCGGAGAAGTGGCAGATGCAGTTTAATATATGTTCAGTCCATCAATCTTGTAGAATGATGGACTGAACACATCGACTCCAGGTTGAGGGACTGATTACCTCATTCTCCTCCTCTCCTTACGCCTTCCTCTTTGTATTGGACTGATGAAGCCACTGTGTGGCGAAACGTTTCCTGAATAAAGATTCCCATATGCTGCATAAGTGTCTCAATCTTCAACTTGTCGGTTTTTCAAACCATTCATCACACAGTTTAATATAGACAAATGCAAAGTTCTAAATGTTGGACAGGACAACCATGCCACATATAAACTAAATAATGTAGATCTTAATATTACGGATTGCAAAAAAGATTTAGGAGTTCTGGTTAGCAGTAATCTGAAACCAAGACAACAGTGAACAATAAAATGGTATAAAATACCGACAGGTTGTTTAGGTAAGACACATATGTAACAGTTAGGTATCTTTATTTCGAAACGTTTCGCCTACACAGTAGGCTTCTTCAGTCGAGTACAGCAGGTATTTTATACCTTTCTTGCACAAAGTTGATAGAAGCAGAAGAGACTTGAAGACGATGTAATCAGTCCATCACCCTTAAAGTTTTGAGGTGGTCAGTCCCTCAGTCTGGAGAAGAGTATTGTTCCACTGCACTCGACTGAAGAAGCCTACTGTGTAGGCGAAACGTTTCGAAATAAAGATACCTAACTGTTACATATGTCTTACCTAAACAAGACAACAGTGCATAAGTGTTCGCAATAAAGCTAATAGAATCCTTGGCTTCATATCAAGAAGCATAAATAATAGGAGTCCTCAGGTTGTTCTTCAACTCTATACATCCTTGGTTAGGCCTCATTTAGATTATGCTGCACAGTTTTGGTCACCTTATTACAGAATGGATATAAATTCTCTGGAAAATGTACAAAGGAGGATGACAAAGTTGATCCCATGTATCAGAAACCTTCCCTATGAGGATAGACTAAGGGCCCTGAATCTGCACTCTCTAGAAAGACGTAGAATTAGGGGGGATATGATTGAGGTGTATAAATGGAAGACAGGAATAAATAAAGGGGATGTAAATAGTGTGCTGAAAATATCTAGCCTAGACAGGACTCGCAGCAATGGTTTTAAGTTGGAAAAAATCAGATTCAGGAAGGATATAGGAAAGTACTGGTTTGGTAATAGAGTTGTGGATGAGTGGAACAAACTCCCGAGTACAGTTATAGAGGCCAGAACGTTGTGTAGCTTTAAAAATAGGTTGGATAAATACATGAGTGGATGTGGGTGGGTGTGAGTTAGACCTGATAGCTTGTGCTACCAGGTCGGTTGCCGTGTTCCTCCCTTAAGTCAATGTGACCTGACCTGACTAGGTTGGGTGCATTGGCTTAAGCCGGTAGGAGACTTGGACCTGCCTCGCATGGGCCAGTAGGCCTTCTGCAGTGTTCCTTCGTTCTTATGTTCTTATGTTCTTATGACACATGAGCTGATGCCTCACCTAGTATCGAGAAGAGTGAGAGCCTCGCACGAGACGGAGCGAGCCCTGGATAACCCTCCTATGGTTCTCCTCCTCTCTCGTCGTCGTCTCCTCTCCTCTGCTGCTGAGAAGCCCGATTTTCCTCCTCCTCGTCCTCCTGCTTCTTGGCTGCCATCAGGGGATCCAGGAGCCGACTGTCCTGCAAGGAAGACAAGCTGCACTAATGATAATTCTCGTCCGAGGAAGAAAGTGTTGCATAAAAGTATCCATCAGGGTTTAGGGAAGTTTCGCCTCCCTCGGCCAGGGTTAGTGCCTGGCTGCTGCTATCAGCACATGCTGTGGTGTATACTGTCAGCTGACGGTGTGCCTAGTGTTTTTCCAGTGTAAGATTACGGTGTACGTTGTGTCAGATCATGCTGTAAGTAGTACGTTGTCAAGTTATGGTGTATTAATGTGTAGTATCAGGTTAGTGTGGGTAGTATGTGTTTGTAGTGTCAGATAACAGTGTAGGTGGTGTGTATGTAGAGTCAGATTGGGGTATAAGTGAGTATGATGGTAATCTAGTGTACTCGCCTTGTTTTGGTTACGGGGATCGAGTCACTGCTGCTGATCCTCGCCTCTCATACTCACGAAGGGGGCACACATTAATCCTAGCTTCATGGGTTATCACAAATGCTCTTCAAACTGCGTATTAAATTGAACTGAATTTCACCACTTATTCAGATTGTTCAACTTCCCAACTAGCCTCAGGCTGAAGAGCACTTCTTAACATCCTTGTGACTCATTTGTCCTTAACCTTCATCTTGCCCTCTTGCTCCCGGTCTTCCTGTGTTGTGAGACTTAGTCTTTATTCGCAGATCTTTCCTCTTATCACGGGAACTAATCTTGAAGCAAATTTCTGGATTTTTTTTTTTAGTTTGTGGACATGTTGAGGTGCAGGGTCCATGCTGGCACTGCATACTCTGATGGGTCACAGTTCACATACAGCGTCCTGAAGGATTCTGCTGAGGTATCTGAATGTTTTTAGTCTGAGCCTCTGAAGTTATTTTCAGTCTCTGGTCCCACCATCTGTGTTCTCTGTCTGGTTTACTCTCGCCTTTCCCAGTTGTCATAACCTTGCACTTGCTATACTTCAAGTTCGACAACGAACTGTACGATCATTCACCTACAGTTCTCGGCACTGCTACTCACCTACGGTGCTAGACACACAGTGCTTGTAATCACCATAAGTGTGGAGCACCAGTCATGACCTACCTAACCTGTAGTAACATGACCCGCCACGTCTCCACCTTGCCACCTACATGATTTATATTTTGTATTCAACAAACTTTAACAAAAGTAGGTACATCCGTAGTGTGCTGTCCTACTGTTTTAAAATTTCAAGTTCTCAGCCTTCACCATCGTTCCTGGCCTAGTAATACAATATCAAGAAATAAGGAAAAAAGTCTTCAAAAAAGTATATTAACTGCTCGTATATTGTGTATACCTTTACATGCAAGTATACTTTAAAAAATCGTGGTGGTCATTTATTTGGAAGTCAGGTCTGGGACCGGGGCGCGTTAATCCCCGAAAACACACACACACACATATACATATACACACATACATATACACACATATACACACATATATACACACATACATATATACACACACATATATACACACACACATATATACACATACATATATACACACATATATACACACACACATATATACACACATACATATATATACACACACACATACATATACACACATACATATACATATACACACATACATATACACACACATACATATACACACATACATATACACACATACATATACACACATACATATACACACATATACACACATGATAACGACTTACAAAATACTGAGAGGAATTGACAAGGTGGACAAAGACAGGATGTTCCAGAGCTTGGACACAGTAACAAGGGGACACAGTTGGAAGTTGAAGACACAGATGAATCACAGGGATGTTAGGAAGTATTTCTTCAGCCACAGAGTAGTCAGTAAGTGGAATAGTTTGGGAAGTGATGTAGTGGAGGCAGGATCCATACATAGCTTTAAGCAGAGGTATGATAAAGCTCACGGCTCAGGGAGAGTGACCTAGTGGCGATCAGTGAAGAGGCGGGGCCAGGAGCTCGGACTCGACCCCCGCAACCTCAACTAGGTGAGTACACACATACATATACACACACATACATATACACACATACATATACACATACACACATACACACACACATATACACATAAACATATACACACACACATACACATAAACATATACACACACACATACACACACATACACACACACACACACGAGAGACAAGCACAGACACAACTAACAGACGTCAATCGCTATTTTATGAAAATGCGGCATTAATGACCCTCGGTCAGTAGATAGGCTTTAAACTTAAACTGTATACAGCACATAGAAGATAATCTACTTTCAGCATTAAATTATTTAAAATACTTGATGGTGGAAGAGCACTGAGGGAAGACACTTGAAATATGGAAATTTTTGAGAGATGGTTGTTGACTTACCATTCTCACTGTCATCGTCGTCGTCATCGTCTTGGTCGTCGTCGTCGTGGTCGTCCTCAAGGAGAGGCTCTGGGTCGAGAACGACTTCTGCATTGTCGTCCTCTTCAACTATGACCTCAAGACTCACCCCACGACGCATGCGACACCTGCCCAGCATCCTCACACCTGTAGCAGGAAGACACACACCTGGTAGAACACGTTTTATAAGACAAATCTTTACATGGAGCTCTACGTTATCAAATCATGTTTCACTGTGTAGAGCTTTATTAGGTCAAGTCATTGTGAGTTTTGTGCCATACTGATGCTGGGGTTGTTACTAGGGATAGGTGGACTGGGGTTGTTACCAAGGATGGTGGACTGGGGGTTGTTACTGGAGGCGGTGGCCTGGGTTGTGTTTTTTGGGGTGGTGGGTTGGGAATTTTTCAACTGAACGACCCAGTTTTGCCTGACCTCGGGCTATTACTGGGGTTGGTGAGCTGGTGAAGTTAGTGGTGGTAATGGGTCGGGGTTCTTAGTGTTAGGGTGGTAGTACCTCCCTGGATGGTGCTGGTGGTGAGGGATGTGCCACATCCTGGTGGAACAGCACAGGAAGTGTGTTGGTATTCAATCAGATCTCTGTTATGATAATGCCTTCCCCATTACCCTCCACCGCGCCTTTGTTTTTGTCAACAACAGCACTGTTGCCAGCATCTTGTAATTCCCTGTTGCTACTTACCTATCCTTGTAGCTATCCAGCAAGCCTGGCCACATCCCCATTACATATCACAGCAGTTTTAAACCATTTAGCCACCAATAGCTGCACCATTTCTGGCTATATTGAGTCTGAACTAACATAAACAAGGATGCTGACACAGTTCAAGAACTTCCTAGCACCAGCCACCTGGTATTTACCTCTGACGCTGCCACACCATTAGTTAACAGTTTGGTAGGTAGTGTGTCCATCTCGCAACTAACGGACGGATGATCGAGCCTACACCACTTAGTGTTTTGAATGACCCACACTGGTTTACCGCTAATATATTTCCCACGAATGTAATTATTTTCTATCCTCTGTACCATGACTTGTTTCCCTGATGTTAGAATACCAGGTCCATGGTTAGAATGCGTTGACTGATCAGCCAGGAATAACCTGGCTGATCAGGTACTTGTAACAAGTAGTGATACAGTTCTCTTGTTAATATGAGCTTTTCCATGCAAGAAATCTTTTTGCTAAATGTATTTCGCTAAAAAAAATTATTATTAGTATTAGTCCTTATTAATTACCTTCCAGCAGGTGTTGTAAATACCTGTGACCATTGTAAATATCTCCTCTGATTACAAGAGGCAGGTAAACTATGTCTTCCAGCAGTTTCTTGGTGAGAGGAGCATCCTTGATGCTTCTCTTGATCTAAGAAATGGAAACCATTCCTCTTGTATCAGACCTAATTATCTCTCATGTCCCAGTTGTTTGACCCCCACGGATTTAGCGTTTTCTTATGAATACAGTAAGACTAACGAACAACGGGATGTGTGTTGTATTCTCTTCCTGGTGTTTTTTTTTTTAGTTTTACACTGAGTGTTGCATTTGTTGCGAGTTACCAAGAGCTCTGAGAGATGCACCAACACAGTGCTCTTCAGCGCTTTCGACTTGCTGTTAGCAAGTGTATGTTCCCCATCAGTAAAATGGGTACCAGAGTGTTAGTAGACTGGTGTGGGTCGCATCCTGGGGCACTGACCTAATTTGCCCGAAATGCTCAGCATAACAAGGGGCTTTCTATATAGTAGTATGTCATTGTTATCAACTAGATCTGTACACCTTGTGTATGTACTTGTAGTAAATATATTATTATATTATACGAGGCAGGAGTCACAGTAATATACGTGAACCAAGCGGCCACAGCCGTCCTATGAAATAAATTTCAGGTAATGCTGCCACATTAGTTAGGATTTTCATAATTAGAACACTCGTGAGCCAGCTTTAGCGTACATGTTCTCAAATTAATGCATAACAACGAACCTGCACCAGAAGTCTTATTAATGAAGCTTTTTTTATTTTTTTTTGTTGTTGTTGTTGTTGTTCTGGAGTCCAGCCAAGTTGTTAAAGTTTGGAGGAATTTGTCTATTTTCTGTTTAGAAAATATTTTTGTATATGTATCGTTGTATTTTGTACGTGTTTTGGCGGCGTCTTTATTTTTTCGACGTCACTGTTATACATAAGGTATTTGTTTACTGTATTTGCCACATGTCATCAGAGTAAGAAGTTCAGTACCACTAGGCACGGTCCTAGCACCTTTAAGGTTTCTCATCCTCATAGCAGACACTAGTCACTACTTCGTATCATCCTTTACGGACAATCCTGAAAAAAACTGTCTCCTCTCAGTAGAAGACAGAAAAATTAGTCAAATATCAGTTTTTTTTTAATAGGTAAATGAAAATAACATGGTATTCAGTGGTGACAAATTTCGTTTGCTTAAATATGAGGAAAAGGAAAGAGTCAAAACAGATTACAGAACACCGACCATCTCATTGAACATAAACAGGTAAAAGACGTGTGAACAATAATGTCAGATATATCCTTTAACGAACACAAAGCAAAGCAAATGCAACAAAGACCAGATAAATGACAAGGAGGATAATGAGAACTTTCAAAATAAGATAAATCACTCTAATGTTAGTACAGTTCAAATAACTTGTGTTCTCACGTCTGGAATATTGTTCTGTACTCAGTTACGTTCAAGGCAGGAGAGAGATCAGAGCTGGGAAATGTACAGAGATCCATTACTGTCTCATAGTGAACATTAAAATGGTATAAAATACCGACAGATTGTTAGGTAAGACACATATGCAACAGTTAGGTATCTTTATTTCGAAACGTTTCGCCTACACAGTAGGCTTCTTCAGTCGAGTACAGAAAAGTTGATAGAAGCAGAAGATACTTGAAGACGATGTAATCAGTCCATCACCCTTAAAGTTTTGAGGTGGTCAGTCCCTCAGTCTGGAGAAGAGCATTGTTCCGTTGTCTGAAACAATATGAAGTTGAAGTGACAGGATGGAGCCTTTATATAGTGCCAGGAGGTGAGACGTAGGTTGCTTTGGGAGGGCAGGTCCCTCTCAAACCCAGCCGTTCTCACTAGTAGAGGTCGAAGTTGATGGTCTGTACAAGATACCCTTGTGTTGCAGTGTCTGACAGAATGAACATTAAAATGGTATTTTATATCATTTTAATGTTCATTAAAATGTTCATTAAAATGGTATTTTATACCATTTTAATGTTCATTCTGTCAGACATGCAACACAAGGGTATCTTGGTACAGGACCATCAACTTCGACCTCTACTAGTGAGAACGGCTGGGTTGAGAGGGACCTGCCCTCCAAAGCAACCTACGTCTCACCTCCTGGCACTATATAAAGGCTCCATCCTGTCACTTCAACTTCATATTGTTTCAGACAACGGAACAATGCTCTTCTCCAGACTGAGGGACTGACCACCTCAAAACTTTAAGGGTGATGGACTGATTACATCGTCTTCAAGTATCTTCTGCTTCTATCAACTTTTCTGTACTCGACTGAAGAAGCCTACTGTGTAGGCGAAACGTTTCGAAATAAAGATACCTAACTGTTGCATATGTGTCTTACCTAACAAACTGTCTCATAGTACTTGAGGTGTACTCTCTGCAGAGAAGAAATAAAATATACCTGGAAAACATACGAAGGCCAGGTCCCAAACACACACACACACACACACACACACACACACACACACACACACACACACACACACACACACACACACACACACACACACACTCACTCACTCACTCTGCCATAACTTATTGAAGTGAGATATAGGAGGAAGGGTAAAATTAGCACAGTGAAAAGCAGGGGCGCCACGAGCACAAGAGAACATTATCCTTAGTCCATGACTGTTCAACCTGCCATCACCAGCAGATATCAGAATTATTGCCAGAACAAGTGTAGAAGTATTCAAGAGGAAACTGGATCACTACCTCTGCCATCCAGGATCTGATGGCTGTGTGGATCAGTAGATCGCTAATAGCAACAGCCTGGCTAACTAGGTAAACACCATGGAGCATGATCTAGGGCAGAGTAGAAAACCTCTCGAAATTCGGTAAAGGTATATCAAGAGGACTGCGATGTTTTCGCCATGTAACTTACAAAGAATAGGATAGTCCCACACAGCAGGTGTTCTAACAATGTAACTATCATATGCAATAAGGTCTCCTCATACTACTTGATCCAAGGACCAAATAGTCTTCAGTAAAGATGTCCTAAGTGACTCGAATAAGGTAAGACTAGACTGCAGGTGTTTATACGATGTCACTATCATATAACTCTCGTATAGAATATGGTATCGAGTATCTGGCGAGACGGGAGAGTCAATGGTTGAGACTCCTCTGGGTGGATGATAGGAGCATCACTGAGGCGAAGACTGACAAATTGAATGTTTTATGTCGCTTAGCACATACTGGTGTGAAGACCAGGTGCTTAAAGGTGATGTCTGGGTGCTGGAGAGCTGCCTTACTTCAGCCCCAGCCTTCTGCTGCTGGGGGAAGAAGTGTTATGGTTATGGTAAGTGAGAAGGGTTCGAGTTATGGAAGTGATGATGGTTTGAGGTGTTATAATGGGTGGTGGGCAGGGGTGGAAATACAGTGGTAGCACAGAATCCTTTCATTTTTTTTTCAACGTTTCGCTCAGAGGGTCTCTGTTACCAGTGTCTTTATTTCAACTTGTCGGGTTTTGTGATTGCTTATCTGGAGGTAGGGGGGGGGGTGACGTTAGTGGAGGTATGGTGGTGATAATGGTTGAGAGTCCGTGATATAGAGTATGGGTGGAGTGGTGGGTGGTAATTGTTAAAACAATAGTGGTAGTATGGTGAAGTTGGAGGGAAATTGTAATGGGGGTTTTAAGAGTGGTGGGTGGTAATTGTTAAAACAATAGTGGTAGTATGGTGAAGTTGGAGGGAAATTGTAATGGGGTTTCAACTGTGGTAACATACAGGATGTTGGACTGGTACTAACGTCCAGGTGATAGTAGTAGGTAGTTTTCTAATTTATTGGGGAGGGGGAGGAGAGTGACCTGAGGAGTGTGTGCAAGGTAGTCTTGATAGTTTTTATAGAGAATTCTCCATAAAAGCATCCAAGATCATGTTGGCTAGACATGTTCTTGGATTCGAATCCAAGAACATGTCTAGCCAACATGATCTTGGATGCTTTAAGTCACCGTCTCGGAAACTGACTTTTCATGCGAGTGCTTAGCAGAGAAAAATTGTAATGTTTCTTTTTTCAACAGATTATAAAATTGTAATGAAATGTTTTTGAGGGTGTTAGGACATGCTTGAGGATGTTAGGGTGTTTGTAGTGGAGGGAGGGAGCAAGAAAGAGGCGAAGGAATGCCCACTTGTGGCACCCCACCTCTCATCATAGGTACAGTCGATTTCCTGTGAAACTCTGATCTCTCTCTCTCTCTCTCTCTCTCTCTCTCTCTCTCTCTCCTCTCTCTCTCTCTCTCTCTCTCTCTCTCTCTCTCTCTCTCTCTCTCTCTCTTGTACGGTTTTCTGTCCCACTGGGAATTTTGTTATTATCCTGAGAGTATCGTCTTCACAATAGCCACAGCATCAGTATTTTCCTCTCCCGCTTCTTTCATGACTTTATCTTTCTTGGTGATTTCATCTACTTATAACATTCTGATTCTTGTCTTCTTTTCTGGGCACACTAATGTGTGTGTCTGAGACTAAGAGAGAGAGATTCAGGAGAATGGGAGGGAGAAGAGAGAGAGAGAGAGAGAGAGAGAGAGAGAGCCAGAGCCAGAGCCAGCCAGCAAACACTTGCGCGTGTGCTTGTCTGTGGGGCCACAGTAATTAGAGGAGTTTAGTTACATTAAAGGGGGTTGGGGGGGATGTAGCCACAGTTTTGGCCTAGATAATACCCTGAATGTTTCACCCTTGACATTCTTTTATCTAACAAAACATTTCCCATTCATACATGTCTCGTGACGAATGCCAGCCATTCTTATCATACAGCCAAAATATATGCAGACTTTCACGTGTATTTTGGGAAACGTGATGAATTATGAATACAGAATATAATGTTAGTTTATACAGTAAATTCTAGTGAATAAAAGTGTTTACTGTTCAGGTATTGGTGTGAGTGTTGCTAGTGGATTGCTAGTTATCGTAGCGGGGTGTGTTGACAAGTGTTGAGACTTGATTTTTGTGTTGCAGGTTGGTGTTAATGCTTCCTGATGCTTCCGTTGTTATGGTGATGCACTCGTTGCTATGGTGATGGTGCCATTGCCATGGAGATGCAGTGACTCTTACAGCGACGTAAGTAATATACAGGCCAGAGGGGCCAAAAGCTTTCTGTTTTTACGAGTAGGAAGATACTCGACACCTGTCACAGGTATATCACAGCCTTTGTCACAAGAATGTGAGATGGAAGCCTGTTAAACGTTTTGCACTCTGGCAGGAGTGCAGCTCAGTTCTTCCTGTCTCGTGACTATGCAAGGTGACAGGTAAATTTAACATTTCTGGATTTCCTCTTTTTTTATGTATACTTCGCTTTCTTTGCATTCGAAATAGTTTTATTCAGGTTATATTTTGTTTTCAGGTTAGTAGGACTGTAGATGAATAAAACCAGGCAGTGGACAGCAGCCCCTATTCCAGCCTATAAAGCATAATACTATCTTGTTTTCTCTCCCCTCTCCCCTCTCTTCTCTTCTATTTCCCCCTCCGTCTTTTTTTTTCCTGTTTCTGCTGGGTCGTGTTAGCCTCCAGGTGTTTGGTCAATCTGATATTAACTGCTTTCTCGCTTGAAGGTGTTCACTGTTGACTGACTGCCAGGGAGCTCTGCCACTGTTGGCTGACTTCCAGGGAGCTCTGCCACTGTTGGCGGCTCACTGCCAGGGAGCTCTGCCACTGTTGGCGGCTGACTGCCAGGGAGCTCTGCCACTGTTGTTGGCTGACTGCCAGGGAGCTCTGCCACTGTTGTTGGCTGACTGCCAGGGAGCTGTGCCACTGTTGGCTGACTGCCAGGGAGCTCTGCCACTGTTAGCTGACTGCCAGGGAGCTGTGCCACTGTTGGCTGACTGCCAGGGAGCTCTGCCACTGTTGACTGACTGCCAGGGAGCTCTGCCACTGTTGACTGACTGCCAGGGAGCTCTGCCATTGTTGGCTGACTGCCAAGGAGCTCTGCCACTGTTAGCTGACTGCCAGGGAGCTCTGCCACTGTTGGCTGACTGCCAGGGAGCTCTGCCACTGTTGGCTGACTGCCAGGGAGCTCTGCCACTGTTGACTGACTGCCAGGGAGCTCTGCCACTGTTGACTGACTGCCAGGGAGCTCTGCCACTGTTGACTGCCAGGGACCTCTGCCACCACTCAACTGTTTACTCTATTTGTGGTTACAGAGAAAGCTTTAGCTCCTGGCCCAGCCTCCTAACTTGCCGCCTGCTCGACTTCCTCATAGGCGCGTTCTGTCATACCTATTCTTGAAACCATGTATGTAGTATGCCCTATTTGTGGTTACAGAGAAAGCTTTAGCTCCTGGCCCAGCCTCCTAACTTGCCGCCTGCTCGACTTCCTCATAGGCGCGTTCTGTCATACCTATTCTTGAAACCATGTATGTAGTATGCCTCAGCTACTATTTCCTGCAGTTCATTTCACATCCTGATCACTCTGGGACTGAATACTTCCTGACATCCCTCTGACTCGGGATCTTTAACTTCCATCTGCGACCCTTGTGTACCTGTTCCCAGCCTCTGCAAAATACATATTCCTGGCCACTACATGGCTCTTCTATCCTCTAATATAGTTAGGTTCACTTCCTATAGTCTCTCCTCTTATCTCTGGCATTAGTCACATTGCGTACCTCTGCACTTTCTTCAGCTGCTTAACACGCTTTACCAAATGAGGACTCCATGCTGGTACTGCGTAGTGTGTGTGTGTGTGTGTGTACTCACTCACCTATTTGTACTCACCTATTTGTGGTTGCAGGGGTCGAGTCCTAGCTCCTGGCCCCGCCTCTTCACCGGTTGCTACTAGACCCTCTCTCTCCCCGCTCCATGAGCTTTATCAAACCTCGTCTTAAAACTGTGTATGGTTCCTGCCTCCACTACGTCATTTTCTAGGCTATTCCACTGCCTTACAACTCTATGACTGAAGAAATACTTCCTACTATCTCTGACTCATTTGTGTCTTCAACTTCCAATTGTGGCCTCTTGTTTCTGTGTCCCCTCCCTGGAACATCCTGTCCTTGTCCACCTTGTCTATTCCACGCAGTATTTTATATGTCGTTATCATGTCTCCCCTGACCCTCCTGTCCTCCAGTGTCGTCAGGCCGATTTCCCTTAATCTTTCTTCATAGGACATTCCCCTTAGCTCTGGAACTAACCTTGTTGCAAACCTTTGTACTTTCTCTAGTTTCTTGACGTGCTTTATCAAGTGCGGGTTCCAAACAGGTGCTGCATACTCCAGTATGGGCCTGACATACACGGTGTACAGTGTCTTGTGTGTGTGTGTGTACTCGGCTATTTGTACTCGCCTATTTGTTGTTGCAGGGGTCGATTCATAGCTCCTGGCTATGACTCGACCCCTGCAACCACTGATTGCTACTAGGTCCCCCTCTCTCCCTGCTCCATGAGCTTTATCAAACCTCATCTTAAAACTATGCATGGTTCCCGCCTCCACTGCATCAGTTTCTAGGCTATTAAACTGCCTGACAACTGTGTGTGTACTCACCTAATTGTACTCACCTAATTGTGGTTGCAGGGGTCGAGACTCAGCTCCTGGCCCCGCCTCTTCACTGATCGCTACTGGATCATCTGTGTGTGTGTGTGTGTGTGTGTGTGTGTGTGTGTGTGTGTGTGTGTGTGTGTGAGTGAGAGAGAAGTCACGAAAGCACTTGGAATTTCACTATATATATATAATTTATATATATATATATGTCGTGCCGAATAGGCAGAACTTGCGATCTTGGCTTAAATTTAAAGCAACGCTCATCTTGCCATACAGGACAAGCGAAAATTTGTGTATGCAATAATTTCGCCAAAATCATTCTGAACCTAACGAAAAAAATGTATTTGATTGTGTGTGTTTAGTACTAAATTATTATAAACGTATTTAAAATATATTTAGTTGGGTTAGGCTAAAATAAATTGCTCTTGTTATGATAAGGTTAGGTAAGTTTTCTAAGATTCTTTTGGTGCAAAATTAAAAAAAATTTACATTAACATCAATGAAAAAAATATATCTTCAAACGTATAAGAGAAAATTTTAGAAAGGACTTAATTTTAAATGAGTTCTTGCTAATTGACCAGTTTTACATATTCGGCACGACATTATATATATATATATATAAATATATATATATATAGTGAAATATAATATATATATATATATATATATATATATATATATATATATATTATATATATATATATATATATATATATATATATATACAAGGAATTCGCAAGAGCAGGCGAAATATACAGAAACACTGATCTCTGGCTGAAGGAGACTCGAACCTACGAAGCTTGGAACAAGGTACCAGTGCTACCTTGTTCCAAGCTTCGTAGGTTCGAGTCTCCTTCGGCCAGAGATCAGTGTTTCTGTATATTTATATCATACATACTCATAATTACATGTGTGCGCATGAGCACTTGAACTTTGTGAGGGAGGAAGGCGAGGTTGAGTTTGGAGGGAGGAAGGCGAGGTTGAGTTTGGAGGGAGGAAGGCGAGGTTGAGTTTGGAGGGAGGAAGGCGAGGTTGAGTTTGGAGGGAGGAAGGCGAGGTTGAGTTTGGAGGGAGGAAGGCGAGGTTGAGTTTGGAGGGAGGAAGGCGAGGTTGAGTTTGGAGGGAGGAAGGCGAGGTTGAGTTTCGGAGCGGAGGAAGGCGAGGTTGAGTTTGGAGGGAGGAAGGCGAGGTTTGAGTTTGGAGGGAGGAAGGCGAGGTTGAGTTTGGAGGGAGGAAGGCGAGGTTGAGTTTGGAGGGAGGAAGGCGAGGTTGAGTTTGGAGGGAGGAAGGCGAGGTTGAGTTTGGAGGGAGGAAGGCGAGGTTGAGTGTGAACTTAACATACGTGAGTGTAAATATTTTGATTTCATTCAGTCGTCTCAGTGACTTGCTGCTCCAAGTGCTGTATAATTTTTTACACATTCTTCCTTCCTCTTTTTTCTCCAATACCATCTGTTTCCTTCCCTCCTCTCACCCCCCCCCCTGCCCACCCGTGTCCACCCATCCCCCCCTGCCCTGCCCTCACCTACCCTGCCCTCACCTGCTCTCACATTCTCCCCAACAAGTCTTGCTCACTTTTTAAACTCCCTCTGAAGGTATTTTTTTCTACGAGATTTTTTAATCTTTGCTGAGTTACCCCAGTAACGTGTGTGTGTGTGTGTGTGTGTGTGTGTGTGCGTGTGTGCGTGTGTGTGTGTACTCACCTAGTTGTACTCAGTTGAGGTTGCGGGGGTCGAGTCCGAGCTCCTGGCCCCGCCTCTTCACTGATCGCTACTAGGTCACTCTCCCTGAGCCGTGAGCTTTATCATACCTCTGCTTAAAGCTATGTATGGATCCTGCCTCCACTACATCGCTTCCCAAACTATTCCACTTCCTGACTACTCTGTGGCTGAAGAAATACTTCCTAACATCCCTGTGATTCATCTGTGTCTTCAACTTCCAACTGTGTCCCCTTGTTACTGTGTCCAATCTCTGGAACATCCTGTCTTTGTCCACCTTGTCAATTCCTCTCAGTATTTTGTATGTCGTTATCATGTCCCCCCTATCTCTCCTGTCCTCCAGTGTCGTCAGGTTGATTTCCCTTAACCTCTCCTCGTAGGACATACCTCTTAGCTCTGGGACTAGTCTTGTTGCAAACCTTTGCACTTTCTCTAGTTTCTTCACGTGCTTGGCTAGGTGTGGGTTCCAAACTGGTGCCGCATACTCCAATATGGGCCTAACGTACACGGTGTACAGGGTCCTGAATGATTCCTTATTAAGATGTCGGAATGCTGTTCTGAGGTTTGCTAGGCGCCCATATGCTGCAGCAGTTATTTGGTTGATGTGCGCTTCAGGAGATGTGCCTGGTGTTATACTCACCCCAAGATCTTTTTCCTTGAGTGAGGTTTGTAGTCTCTGACCCCCTAGACTGTACTCCGTCTGCGGCCTTCTTTGCCCTTCCCCAATCTTCATGACTTTGCACTTGGTGGGATTGAACTCCAGGAGCCAATTGCTGGACCAGGTCTGCAGCCTGTCCAGATCCCTTTGTAGTTCTGCCTGGTCTTCGATCGAGTGAATTCTTCTCATCAACTTCGTCATCTGCAAACAGGGACACCTCAGAGTCTATTCCTTCCGTCATGTCGTTCACAAATACCAGAAACAGCACTGGTCCTAGGACTGACCCCTGTGGGACCCCGCTGGTCACAGGTGCCCACTCTGACACCTCGCCACGTACCATGACTCGCTGCTGTCTTCCTGACAAGTATTCCCTGATCCATTGTAGTGCCTTCCCTGTTATCCCTGCTTGGTCCTCCAGTTTTTGCAGCAATCTCTTGTGTGGAACTGTGTCAGACGCCTTCTTGCAGTCCAAGAATATGCAATCCACCCACCCCTCTCTCTCTCTCTTGTCTTACTGCTGTCACCATGTCATAGAACTCCAGTAGGTTTGTGACACAGGATTTCCCTTCCCTGAAACCATGTTGGCTGCTGTTGATGAGATCATTCCTTTCTAGGTGTTCCACCACTCTTCTCCTGATAATCTTCTCCATGATTTTGCATACTATACATGTCAGTGACACTGGTCTGTAGTTTAATGCTTTATGTCTGTCTCCTTTTTTAAAGATTGGGACTACATTTGCCGTCTTCCATGCCTCAGGCAATCTCCCTGTTTCGATAGATGTATTGAATATTGTTGTTAGGGGTACACATAGCGCCTCTGCTCCCTCTATCAATACCCATATGGAGATGTTATCTGGCCCCATTGCCTTTGAGGTATCTAGCTCACTCAGAAGCCTCTTCATTTCTTCCTCGGTTGTGTGCACTGTGTCCAGCACATGGTGGTGTGCCCCACCTCTCCGTCTTTCTGGAGCCCCTTCTGTCTCCTCTGTGAACACTTCTTTGAATCTCTTGAGTTCCTCACATACTTCACGGTCATTTCTTGTTGTCTCTCCTCCTTCCTTCCTTAGCCTGATTACCTGGTCCTTGACTGTTGTTTTCCTCCTTATGTGGCTGTACAACAGTTTCGGGTCAGATTTGGCTTTCGCTGCTATGTCATTTTCATATTGTCTTTGGGCCTCCCTTCTTATCTGTGCATATTCGTTTCTGGCTCTACGACTGCACTCCTTATTCTCCTGGGTCCTTTGCCTTCTATATTTCTTCCATTCCCTAGCACACTTGGTTTTTGCCTCCCTGCACCTTTGGGTAAACCATGGGCTCATCCTGGCTTTTTCATTATTCCTGTTACCCTTGGGTACAAACCTCTCCTCTGCCTCCTTGCATTTTGTTGCTACATATTCCATCATCTCATTAACTGGCTTCCCTGCCAGTTCTCTGTCCCACTGATCCCCGTTCAGGAAGTTCCTAATTCCTGTGTAGTCCCCTTTCTTGTAGTTTGGCTTCATTCGTCCTGGCCTTCCTGCTCCTCCCTCCACTTGTAGCTCTACTGTGTATTCGAAGCTTAAAACCACATGGTCACTGGCCCTAAGGGGTCTTTCATATGTGATGTCCTCGATATCTGCACTACTCAAGGTGAATACTAAGTCCAGCCTTGCTGGTTCATCCTCTCCTCTCTCTTGTAGTGTCTCTTACGTGTTGGTACATGAAGTTTTCCAGTACCACCTCCATCATCTTAGCCCTCCATGTATCTTGGCCCCCATGCGGGTCCAAGTTCTCCCAATCGATCTCCTTGTGGTTAAAGTCACCCATGATCAGGAGCTTTGCCCTGCATGCATGAGCTCTTCTGGCCACTCTAGCCAGTGTGTCAACCATCGCTCTATTGCTCTCGTCGTACTCTTGCCTTGGCCTCCTGCTGTTTCTGTGGTGGGTTATACATCACTGCTATTACCACCTTGGGACCTCCAGAGTGAAGCGTTCCCGCTATGTAATCACTTTCTTCTCCGCTGCCTCCTCTCTCCAGCTCATCAAAATTCCAGCGATTTTTGATCAGCAATGCCACTCCTCCACCCCCCCTGTTCCCTCTGTCTTTCCTCAGGATTTGGTATCCCATTGGAAAGATGGCATCTGTTATCATACCTGTAAGCTTGTTTTCTGTGAGAGCTATGATGTCCGGTGATGCCTCTTTGACTCTTTGTGTGTGTGTGTGTGTGTGTGTGTGTGTGTGTGTGTGTGTGTGTGTGCGCGTGTGTGTGCGTGTGTGCGCGCGCGCGCACGTACTGCGTACGTACAAACTCAGTTGTAGATGAATAAGACACTTTAGTAAGTGTTAGGTATTAACTGTAAAAAGTTCTGCTTGTTCAAGTTGCTTCCTTCGTATGCAGGAGTGACTAAACATTACAGACAGCAGAAGCAGTGGTGAGATTCCTTAGCTGGGTTAAAGTAGCAGCTTTGAGGTGGTCAGTCCCTCGTCCTTGAGGTGTTCTCTTTCATTGTCTTGATCAAAATGGAGCTGATGCATGTGTCGAGCATATTTCTCAAAATATATATTTTTTGTTTGCAAATTTGACGTTTTAAAAGTGAAGAAAAGTTGAGGAAAACACTTAAAATTTAAATTAATATATAAACGCCTGGATGATCTTGTGAATTTATTGCAGAGAGTTAAGAGATTATCATGACTGGGGACAACACTTGGAGGCTCTTGTGTTGTGGACTGTGTGTGGAGGAGGAGGCTGGTTACGTCACTCACCCCGTGACACAACAACCACATCACTGCTGCAACACTTGCGTTTAACAAAGCACTTGAGGGAGAGCCACTTGTACGAGCAGGAGGGACGCAACTTAATGTTGGTAAACTGATCTTGATGTAAGGAATTAAACTCTTTTGCCTTTGGATCAAACCTGATTACCTCCTGTTCCCCAGGCACTGTGGGACCTCTGCTAGTTAAGCACTTCCTCAATAAAGTAATAATAGTGGTGGTTCATTGGGAATGTGGAGGTGTGGTGTGTGTGTGTGTGTGTGTGTGTGTGTGTGTGTGTGTGTGTGTGTGTGTGTGTGTGTGAGGGGGGTGGGGTGACGCCTTTGTTTAATACTGCTGTTAACTTTTGTGTCTTTGCCTCCCATGGTTTTGCATGTTAGTTTTTCCAATGTGGTGAATGTAAACACCATTGTCACCATTTAAATTTTTTTACTTGTTGCTGTTTCTGGGGATTATCGCCCCCGCTGCTTGGTCTCAGACTATGTGCCTGTCACCGATTCTAGCGTTTTTCAACCCTATCAGTTCGATGTTTAGCCTCTTCAAGCAGGCTGTTGCTGTTGGCGGACTTCTGCCCATACATCCATCACAGCCCGGTTGATCTGTCACTTGGCGAAGGTAGTGATCTAGTTTTCTCCTGAAAACTTCTACACTCATTCTGGCAATATTTCTGATATCTGCTGGTAGCAGGTTGAAGAGCCTTGGACCACGCATGTTGAAACATTATCTTAGTGTACCCATCGCATACATGCTTTCACTGGACTTATTTTACATTTCCTTCTATATATCTCACTGATTTGTGCACTTGGCTCTCTGTCTTCTGTGTGTGTATTGTCAGACTTTCCCTCTCTTCTCCACTTAAGAGAATACATTCCAAATATTCTTAGGTGTTCATTTTAGTTGAAATGCTTTGACTGTGAGGGTAGTAAAGGATCTCAGCACACTTCCCAGCTTTGATCTCTCTCCTGCCTTGAACGGAGCTGTGAGCACAGATCCATATTCTGGATGTGAGAGCATAGGTTATTTAGATGTACCATCAGTCGAGTTATTTCTCATATTTTGAAAGTTCTCATTATTCACCTTGTCACTGTCTGACCTCTAACCTGTCTAAGTTTATTATTCCCAAGTCTTTTACTATATAATTTGTGTGTCTGTGTGTTTCTGTGTGTGTCTGTCTCTGTCTGTGTGTGTCTGTCTCTGTCTGTGTGTGTCTGTCTCTGTCTGTGTCTGTCTCTCTGTCTTCCAGTATGACACAACTGATGTACAGAAATACATCTTAACTTGTGTGTGTTAGTTACTACCTTGCATCCTCCTCAGCTATCTTCTGCATCCCCAGCCCTCTCCTCATCCCCAGCCCTCTCCTCTTGCCCATCCCTCTCCTCATCCCCAGCCCTCTCCTCTGTACTCCCAGCCATCCTCTGTACTCTAGCTCTCTCAAATTCTCACAATTATCATTATCTTACCTTCTTACCTCTTAAAGTATATCCGAGGCCAGCATTAAATGTTAGTTATTCAAGTTAGCTTATTTAAGGTTTAACCTGTATTTGTGTATATTTTACCTCCAGTAACCAAATTATATGAAAGAACGGCGTACGTTTGGCAACGGGGAAGACGTTGTCATCTCTTAAAGAGTTAGAAAGCTCACGATGGTTGATAAGGTTTGAGAATGGTGGCAGTAAAGCCTGAGACACAGCAGTGTTGTAGGCTACTGCAGGAGGCGCTGGAGAACACAAGAGTTGAGTAAGGTTTATACCGAGTCTGGGATAAACACTTCTACTGTTAATCTTACCACCAACACTACTATCACCATCACTAGAACCACTATCGCCAGCACCACTACTTCACTTGCACCACCACGATCAGCTCCACCACTCACCAGCAGCACCACCACCGCTCCACCAGCATAGTTATGCTGGTTGGTTCGTTCTCTCTCTCTAATTTTTTTCTATGTTCATTTTCTCAAGATCTTAAACTTAATTCCCCCCCGAGTGTTAAATGTTGTATGTGTCACCTCTTAGCTATTACACACATCTCACGTCTTCAGGTATTGTATATATATACACACAATTTCACATAATCGGTATTGTATATATTACTCGCACACAAGATATTGTATACATAAGCCAAACGTCAGATATTTATACAACACGTGCAGTATGGCAGTGTAAATCATTGAGTGTAAACTCACCCAGCCTGTGCATCTTCACTGCCTTGGTCTCCTCTTCACAAGTGGGACATTCAGTGATCAAACTTTACACTGCATCTTGTGTAGCTTAACTTATGGCGGTACACTCACACTGCTGCTATGTTTACTGGCCTCACAGTACATGGTGGTAACTACAAAGATGTATATAAAACATGGGCTCGTCTTTCTTGCTGGCTTTACCCTACATAGTGTTAAGGCTCTTCAGTACAAATCGACAGATATGACATTATTTTATCATCGCTGGGTACTGTAATTTGGAAACGCCTGTGTTTTTGTTTACTCAGTTAACATCAGAGATAATGTCGAGTTTAGGGGTAAGGCAGCTACTGGATTTCTACGACAGCCTGATTGATCGAGGGAGCCACCATAAGGCTTGGCTCTGGACTGGGCAACGGGGGCGGTGACAAGTAGTTTAATTCCATCACTTTTAATCGCACGTTAACACTAATCTGACCGAGGGTGAGGAAGCTGGGTACTTCCTTGGTGTAGCAACAAACTGACTGATCAAAGATCGGGTCGAGATTAGCGGATGGAAATGCACACGGGTTTAGTGGAAGGTTGACACGGTCAGTATATGCACTTGCGCATCACAGTGGGTAGTGGGCACTCAGGGTTCGCTTGACACAGAGAGGGTATGTGTGTTGCCCTGGGTGTGCTCGCAAGGGTCGAGCTGTGGTTCCTGGCACAGCCTCGACTCTTCTCCCCAGATACACTAATTTCCGAGTTGTTGCGCGGGCGTGTGTGCTTGCGAGATGGTGTGAGTGAGACTGACAGCGTTGAGTTGCTCTTACTGTCATGGTTACAGTTACCTGTGTCGTCACACCCTCCCACTTCTCTCCCAGGCCACACTCTGTGGCCACACCTTCCTTCACGCTGGCCACACTGTGGCGCCACCTTCACGCCGGCCACACTGTGGCCACATCTTCACGCCGGCCACACTCCCAAAAGCAACCAGCAGGATACACACTAATTTTGCTAGTGACCCAGGTGAATCAGCTACAGTTTACGCTCTTATCTTTCCTCTCCAATATTGAACTTTCATTTTCTAAACTTCAAAAAAAAAATAACTTCAGTAAGTTTTCCAAAGTTTATTTCGCTTGTCTTCAACTTTTATTTCCAGACCACTGCTAGCATTTATGGTCTCATGTTCTTATTGAATCTAATTTTCCGCTGCGATGAGAACACAAGTTGCATAACAAACTTTCATTATGGCAACGTTTCCCTCATGATAAAGCGCCACACAGAGCGAAACGTCGTCCCAGGAAAAGTTATGAAACGGGCATCATTTTTTTCCACAGGGGAAACTAATTACAGGTTTTGAACTGGTAATGATCTCTCTTGTGGTGTGCTCTGAGGGCCGCCTGGTGCTGCTGAACAACTCGGGTATAATATCGAACCTTCCCTTTCTTGGCTCGAGGGCCCAATAAACTATTTAATAATTAGGTAAAGTATTTTGTGAGTAACTGGCTTAATGACCAGTGATCTTCATTAATATTAACAAAACAGTTTGTATTTAATAACCAGGCAGTAAGATGTGTGGTTATTAAGACTTCAGTCAGTACCACTGCTTTGAGGTTTTGTTTGTCGTCTGGTTTGTGCGTGTGTACTCACCTCGTTGTGGTTGCAGGGGTCGAGTCATTGCTCCTGGCCCCGCCTCTTCGCTAGTCCACTCTCCCTACTCCAAGAGCCTTAACGTACCTCGTCTTAAAGCTGTGTATGGATCCTGCTTGTGTGCGCGCGCGTGCGTCTGTGTTCTCTGTCTTTGACACCAGCACAGTGCCTCAGTGTGGTACAGACAGCCAGGTGGTGCTACAGTGTTCACTCCGCCTCTGGCTACATTTTCTACACATTCCTGTAATAAAGGTCAGGCGAGGAAAGCTGCGCAGTTCATTTCGTGCGTAATCATGTGCCTGTTCAAAATGTACTGAACTTCACAACTAGGCCAGGAGCCAGGACTCGACCCTCCGCAAACACAAATCGGTGAGTACAAATTGGGAATGGAAAAGACACATTGTTTTGGTACCTTCTGTATCCTTTTAAAGTCCGGAACGTGGCGAAACGTCGTCTGGTTTCTACTTGTAGTTTGTGGATTAGTTGTGAATTGTTCTATCCTCGGTATTGTGGATTAGTTATGAATTGTTCTATTCTCGGTATTGTTGATTAGTTGTGAATTGTTCCAGTTAATGTATTATTTAGGACCTAGCCTTGCATATTATTGTAATTATTATTTATATGGCGGTCTAAACATGTAAAGCTCACAGAGCGTAAAGCTCTGAGCCTTGCCCAAGTCCGGGCTCTGAGAATAGAAAAACTCTGGGAACTCATCAAAGGTCAAGGTATATTGCTATCCTCAGTATACAGGCATCACTGTATACTGTGCTATCATCAACTCAAGTCGTAATGAACGACTGTCAGTGAATTATCGGAAGAATACCAGGACCACGGTTCGAATCCCCCTCCATTCTTTTTTATTCCTACTCTCACACTCGGTATACAGGCATCAGTGTATAGTGTACTGTCACTCAGTATACAGGCATCAGTATACTCAGTCATACAACGCGAGGGCAGCACTATAACTTCCTGACATACTCTGTCAACCTGGTGAATCCGGATTCTTGTTTACAGAATGAGGCTCATTTATCTAGTCGGTGATTTCTCCAGTGGAGCGCTTTATCGCGGCGGCGGACGCCTGCCCATCCAATTTACCGAAACATTGGCTTATATCGTGGACCAGTTTATCTAGTGATTACTGCAGTGTGTGGGGGTTGCCCACGCTGCTGTGCAGTGATTACTACAGTGTGTGGGTTGCCCACGTTGCTGTTTAATGATCATTGCAGTATGTAGGGGTTGCCCCACGCTGCTGTGTAATGATTACTGCAGTATGTAGGGGTTGCCCACGCTGCTGTGTAATGATTACTGCAGTGTGTATGGGGGTTGCCCACGCTGCTGTGTAGTGATTACTGCAGTATGTAGGGGTTGCCCACGCTGCTGTGTAATGATTACTGCAGTGTGTGTGGGGGTTGCCCACGCTGCTGTGTAGTGATTACTGCAGTATGTAGGGGTTGCCCACGCTGCTGTGTAATGATTACTGCAGTGTGTGTGGGGGTTGCCCACGCTGCTGTGTAGTGACTACTGCAGTGTGTGTGGGGGTTGCCCATGCTGCTGCTGTGTAGTGATTACTGCAGTGTGTGTGTGGGTTGCCCACGCTGCTGTGTAGTGATTACTGCAGTGTGTGTGTGGGTTGCCCACGCTGCTGTGTAATGATTATTGCAGTGTGTGTGGGGGTTGCCCATGCTGCTGTGTAGTGATTACTGCAGTGTGTGTGGGGGTTGCCCATGCTGCTGCTGTGTAGTGACTACTGCAGTGTGTGTGGGGGTTGCCCATGCTGCTGTGTAGTGATTACTGCAGTGTGTGTGGGGGTTGCCCATCGCTGCTGTGTAATGATTATGCAGTGTGTGTGTGGGTTGCCCACGGCTGTGTAGGGACTACTGCAGTGTGTGCGGGGGGGGGGGGTTGCCCATGCTGCTGTGTAGTGATTACTGCAGTGGTGTGCCCACGTTGCTGTGTAATGATTAATGCAGTGTGTGTGGGGGTTGCCCACGCTGCTGTGTAGTGATTACTGCATTATGTAGGGGTTGCCCACGCTGCTGTGTAATGATTACTGCAGTGTGTGTGAGGGTTGCCCATGCTGCTGCTGTGTAGTGATTACTGCAGTGTGTGTGTGGGTTGCCCATGCTGCTGTGTAGTGATTACTGCAGCGTGTGTGTGGGGGGGGGGGTTCCCACGCTGCTGTGTAATGATTACTGCAGTGTGTGGGCTGCCCACGTTGCTGTGTAATGATTATTGCAGTGTGTGGGTTGCCCACGTTGCTGTGTAGTAATTACTGCAGTGTGTGGGTTGCCCACGTTGCTGTGTAATGATTACTGCAGTGTGTGGGTTGCAGAATGCTGAATTGTGAACCTTGGGTGTTCAGCATTATTTAAGATAGTCTCACTACTGAGTGTTGCTAGTACAAGGCTGGTAACACTAGTACTAGAAGTACCTCTAGTCAAAGGTTTGATAACTAGCACCCAGGCTCAATTGTTTTCACGCGTTTCAGCTCTTGGGTTCAATTTTAGGTGACTCGTTTAATTATTTTTCGCAGGTTCCAGGACCCAATTTAAATTTTCAGATTCCGACACCTAGGTTTCAATTTTACAAGTTCCAGCACCTTGGTTAAATTTTTAAAGGTACCAATGATCCAGGTTCAATAATTTCCACGGGTTCCAGCGACCATCCTATAAACTGAAGTCTCCGCCTCGGCCTTAATTGTGCTATTAAAAATCCTTCCCTAACGATGGTGTTGATAACCGCAACCTCAGTCATGCTGCTGGCTACATGTGCCACAGTTGAGTTATAGCTCGTGGCCGCCACTATTAAAACTGTACACGGTGATTCTATAGGAAATAAAAAATAATCTTACGAACTTTATACTGCGTATATAATATTCCCGTGAAAATAATAATCCTCGATTCAATACGTGTATTATTTCTCTGTATGGTAGTTTGTCGAAGGCCCTTGAAGTCTAGGGATATGGTGATTATAATAATGGTTGTGGTGATTGAAAGTGTAGTGGTTGGAGTTGGGGTAGTAGTGGGTGTTTGGAGGTATGGTGGTAATAGTGGTTGGGGGTGTGGAAGAATAGGTGGTGGTGATGGCCCCACCACACCTGTCCCACCTCCACCAGTGGTAATGAGAGAACACGTGTCTAGCAGTTTCAATGAGACAGACGGTGGTTTGCGGCACTCTCCACCTGTCAGGGTCAACAAACTTCCTGGCATCACAGCTGCAGTGACACACATCCTAGCTGACGGTGCCGTCACCACCACCTGCAGCATCATTACCACCACCAACACATCAACCATCTTCATTACTCCATCACCACCACCATTATTCACCCATCTGTAAACTTCTAAAAGGTTTACAGACCTTTAGTAAAGCATTTGAGGCAGTAGACCATGATTAAGAATACGATGTTGCTTTTGATACTCCCACATAGAAGTCTGGTAAAGAAAATGGCAGCACATGGTATTTGAGGCTAACTTTTCTTACAGCTAGAGGCATGGCTGCTTAATAGAAAGAAAAGTTTACACGAGTAAGGTAAAAATCAGAATGAGAAGCAGTAAGAAGCAGCATACTAAAAGGGTCAGTTATGGGATCGTCGTTGTTCAGAAACAATTAATCACCTTGACAAGGGAATAAAGAGTAAATTCTCTGAGGACACAATAATAGTCATGTTCAAGCGCCTGTCACCTCACACTCCTATATATATATATATATATATATATATATATATATATATATATATATATATATATATATATATATATATATATATATATATTTCTCTGTATTGGATTGAATAAAGTTCTCAGTGGGCAAAACGTTTCCTAATATGTCATAATTGTTGTACTTGTGTCTATCCTATCATCCTTTCTTACAATCATTCTTCCACATTTCTTTTCTTCCCCTTTCCCTCTTTGCTCATCCTCCCAGACGAATTAGAAGTCCTAATATAACTCGTATTGTAGAGCTGTACCACCAGCACTCTCATGGACTATCCTAAGTGGCACTCTAGATGGAAGGTGCCAAGCGGGGTTACATATGATGGCTGCTGCTATTGATGCTGCTGTTGCCGTTACTGCTGTTAATGCTGTTGGTGGTAGTGATGCTGCTACTGTTATTGGTGGTAGTACTGGTGGAACAAGTCACCACAGCCGCTCCTCTCCAGGAGTGGTAATTATCTACACACGCTTTAC